CCTAAACCAGAGTATTTGAATGTAAACGTAAATGAACTAGTTTGATAAACCTTGGGTTTTGGCGAAAGTGAGTTCGAGGTTGCCTGAAGGTAAGATCCTAGAGGAAACAAGTCTCGATCTCTTGGTGGATTGTAAGAATCTCAAGTAGCGGTCGATGAAGAAGAGGAAGATATTTGGCAAGATCATGCAGAACCAAGAGTCTCCAACATGGAGCACGTAGAAGACTATGTATAGACCGTAGAGATGGTGAGTGTAGAAGAAAATCTCAAACTTCTTTCGTCTAAAGTATGGTAAACTCGTCACCCACATCGCTATGCCAATCACCATGGCTATTGTTCCGGCTAGATTAGGCACATATGTTGGATTCCATGCAAACGTCTTCATACATAGAAAACATAAAAGATTAGTCTTGTAATAGAAGAAAGATAAGAGCTCATTATTCTTGTGATAGAAGAATAACATATATCAAAATTTTGTTATTTCGATGTGCGTATTGTAAATCCAACAATAGATTTGGTTCAAGATAGAGTGATAAAACGAAATCTTGCATCGATAAGTATAATTAGGTTGATAAATAATAATATTATGATTAGGTTGTAATATAAATTTAGATAAAGATTGAGTTATCTAGATGTAACGAACCTCCATCAGCTTATTGACCATGGCCCAGTAGATAAGGAAAACAACGGTGTGAACGAGGAAGAGAAAGTTTGAGATATGTCCGAGCCAAATGTGATATTTGATGCTTGACTCTGACGTCAACCCAACAAGTGGCAGAATCGTAGAAGCTCTTGTTACGGGGAAGAACAAAAACGCCCAACAGATGTGTCCCACGTATCCTATTCTCAGCCCGAAAGCCCTAAACTTTGCTTGCCATCTGCACCATTTCAATCAATGTTATAAACAACTCACCAAAAGATTTGGATTTTTTTAGTAACCGGATGATTCTGAATTAAAACGCATACTAATCCATAGAACATGCGAAAAAACGGATTTTCTTGACATTTAAAACATTCAAAGTGGTCAACCATGATGAAAATCACAATAAGTCATTCAACATCAAGAATATACCCACCATAGTTTGAGAGGGTTATTTTGGATATTAGGTAAATTTTTCAGAGAGAGATAAAAGTAGAAACAAAGAAGCTTACATTTTGGCGTTGTCATGGTTATGAAGACTGACGTGATAGCTAAGGTAGAGATAATTGGAGAGAGCCCAAGTCAAAAGAGCAACAAACAATATAGAAAAAGTCAACTCTGTGGCCGTCACTATCCCTAATGGGTTCATCACCATCATCACCCTCCCCATTCTCCCTTTTAGTTTCCCTTCTCTGCATTTGTATGAACAAGATTGTGATAATTTGTTACAAATATATTTAAACATAGGCAATAATATAACGTGCAATGAAATTATAACAAGTCGAACCTTTGAGTTTGGGTGGGTTTCTTGATATGCAAATAAACACAACTAAGGACCGCAATGAACATCATTGGAACGGTAAGAAGCACTAGATTTATGCCTACACAATTAGAAATACCGAATACTCAGAATTAAATAAAGGAATCTCAATCTTGAAATAAATTCGAAAAACTCGAGAAAATAAATACCTTGAGGACCAAAATAAGTAGTATTGAGATACTTGGCGAGTTTAGGGGTCCATGTGTTTTTGAAAAGGTTAGTTGAAATCATAATCCAAATAAACATCCATCCAAGAAATAGAACCACCATTGACATCTTCAGTAAGCTTCTCATATCCCCCATTTTCTCTTTTGTATTTTTATCCACAATATATTGATGAAAGTGTGTGTTATAAGTGTGGAAAGCTTTTTTAGATTTGCTATTTATAGAGGAGTATTGGGGTAATATCGTAATTATGTCATTTGTATACATGTTATTACAATGTCTAAGTTGTGAGATTCTTCTTCTGCTTTTTAATTATCTTATCTCTCGACAGTTTTTTGCTGGCAAAGAATAATACAGAACATATAATTAAATGTATATACGCACAAGTACATAACACATACAGTATATATCATAAATGATTACTTCGTATAGCTGTATAATAATTTATAGCCAAACATGATCGGTTTATGCAATGGAATGTGTTTCTTGGATCATATTGTAAATTCGGTTTCTGTAGGCTTTATCTACTTAAATTGGCCAACTGTTTGTTGGTTGAACACATTAACAGAAAGTTATCAAGGCATATAAATAGTTTGAGACGGCCCTAAATGATATTCGAACAGAAAACTTGTGAGTCGAGAGCAAAGGATAGATTATTCTTAACAAAGCTATTTCTTATCTACAACAAATCTTGTCAAATAAATACAAGAAATGAAAGATACCTTGTGGTTTCAATCAAATCAAAGTATATTACTAAATACTAATTCTTACCCTTAGTTAATTAAAGCTAGGGTTTCTTGCGTAGAGAGTTGAGATTTGAGAACATTCTATAAAGCAAAGGGCCAAAAAGGCATGATTCATGCGTGGACAAAATTAGTACTTGATGTACTGCATCTTTACTTATTCTTAGCTAATAGTTTTTCTTATTTTAGTACTAACAATGTTTTTTTTTTATTAGTAAAAGTGTGTTCTCCGTATAGACATCAAATTTTATGGAATGATTACATATTTTCGACCATGTCAATGTAAGTTTTATCTTGATAAACCAAACAACAAGAAGTACTTATTGATATTGTAGAGTTGACCATCCAGATTAGAAGTACATTTAACTTTTTAAATTACGAATTCAAGTACAGTTGACTTATATTGAAAGAGCAGTACAGTAGTACAATCTCCATTACCACTCAATTGATTATCATTGTCTACTAAATCTTACATAGATACTATATAGTTGACATTTCTTAATATTGTATGTAATACGTAAAGCTCAACCAATGGAAAATGGTTATTGTTTATTTACGAGACAAAATGCATTAAAAACATCTGGAACGTGTCTAACTGTATCGTATGAGAACACTTGATTTTCTTTGG